GGTTCGGTTCAGAAAAAACTAACGCCTGCCGAGAAGTTGAGATTAAAAGTGCAAATGGGGCTAAAAAAACAGAGTGCGTATAGAAGTGACTAGACAATTTTTGAAACAAAAGTGCGTCGTCTTTGTAATAGATTCGATACTGTTTGTTTCGCGTAGTTGCTGTGGACGAGGAGAAGAAATTAATGAAAGAACGACAACAGGAGTTTGAACGATTAGGAGGAAATGACGCCGAATTAAGCGTTATGCACTCGACTGGAAACTTACCCAGGTATTTTTGTTAGCGTCTTCTACCATGACTGGTATAAATGTCTAACTATATTCATCGTAGAACGGTGGGCATGCATGCACAAACTCAGTCATACCAAAAAGATCGGCCATCATCGTTCTCAAGATCGGTATCTTCCCGTTCCTACTCAAGGTCCCGATCTCAATCTAGGTCTCGGTCTAGTTCGCGTTCCAGTTCCCGTTCCAGTTCCCTTTCCCGTTCCCATTCCAGTTACCTTTCTCGTTCTCGTTCCCATTCTCGTTCCCGTTCCCGTTCCCGTCCCCGTTTCCGTTCTCGTCGTTCTCGCTCTCGTTCTCGTTCTCTTTCTCGCTCTCGTTCTCGTTCTCTTTCTCGCTCTCGTTCTCGTTCCCGTCCCCGTTTCCGGCATCGGAACCGAGCGCGCCGTTCAAGGGAGTCGCAATCACTCTCTACATCAGAATCGTCTGAATCTGACCGTCGAGGCAGACGGCATAGGACGCGGAAAAGATCCATAACGAGAGCGAGACGTCGGTCGAGATCCCGACCCCGGTATGTAGACGTATGCGATACACACCTCTAATATCCAGCAACTCGGTCTATTCCACTTATAATTACGTTTTCTCCTAGCCGTCAAAGATCGCGTTCTTCATCATATGACAGTCGCAGCACGGGTAAACGTCGCCGTCGATCGTCACCATCAAGCTCTTCTCGTTCATCGTCCTCTTACGGTCATGGTAGGAAACGGTATAGCTCTAAACGCAAAAGATGGCGATCATCGAGCGGATCTAGATCTCGGACAAGACGAAGGCGATCCGATTCCTCCGATGAGGATTATTGGCGGCAGAGGCGACGCTGAAAGTAGAGAGGATAAGTGGTCACAGAATGACGATATTGAACCCGCTTATTATA